TCGTGTTTTCCAGTTCTTGCTGCGGACTCCTCGGGCGGCGAATCCGTCCGCGTGACCGTGACTGCGTCCATCGACCCCACAAACCAGATCGCACACCAAGCGTTGTCACGTAATGACTCTCACAGATGGAACAAGCGAACACGTGCGCAAGTGCCTTTTTCCACAAAGCTGATCACACTTGATCATACCGGAGCTAAATACAAGCTGTTTCTATCCACGAGGGTTCAACAGTTACAGCGAAACCAGCACTTTGAACACCGTGATGTTCCCGGAATCACTCAGAATCGACCGCGTGGACCGGGACCGCCTCCTTACGGGGCGCGGGTGACGAGTGGTTTGGTCTCGCCAACTGATCCATCAACCGGACTGTATGAATTATTCTTCCTTCGTTTTCGGTGTGTCCCACCACCAACGATGTGGCGAGGTCGTTGCTGTTTGGGCCAAGGTGACTGGGCTGAGAAGAGAGCGCACTAAGCTCATCCAAACTGGCACTGCAACTCATACAGACAGTGGTGTCATCGCTACCACAGGTGGTCGACGAACAATCCGACGACACATCCAAATCCTCAGCCAGGCTTGAAATACAGATCACCTGACTCTACATGCCTCTACAATGTTGCAAGTCTCCTGCAGGGAAACACACAAATATTGCAACATCTTCAGTGTCTTCCTCATTGCCCACCCGATCTCCAGCACGCATCTCCATCTACTACTATATAATCACAGATTTCAAGAACATAGCATAGAACAGTGAAGTCTTCTTCAGAAAAGTAAAGGTGTTCAGAAAAGTACAAGTAAAGACATTTCAAAGTCGAAATCTCTAAAAGTCCGGAAAACGACGATTTCATTGGGAGCTCTTTCAGAAAAGAATGTGTATAGTGGGGGGAACCAAAAGACGTTGGTCCATGCCAACGGTGTTCTCGCTTTGACTACCACTCTCCGACCTATGTTACTTCCCAGAGTGTACATTCCTTCCAGGTTATATAGTTACAAACCCAGCTGCAATGGAAAATGATCCTGTCCTGTGAGAAAACACGCCAATCCAAGTGCAAGCCAAAGGCGGTGTCTCGCCCTTTCCATTGCATCATCTTCACCTCTGTCATAACACTGAGCTCCAGTTCCAGCTGTTGCTCCTTGGACAAAACGGACATCCAAATGGCGTGGCAATGGAACCCCAGAGTACCCTTTCAACAAAGTATTATCGTATAAACTAAATATCATATATTACCATATTATTATGTATAGCTTAGCAGGTAAACAAAAAGGCATATGATTAAAAACCATGCCTCTAGTGGACTCGTGGGTCCCTATATTCAATAGTCTCCATACAGGTGAACATGGAAGGAATCATGCCATGAATTTGGATCAACATGTCAATGTCAATACGTAAACCCTCTTGGTGGGCTTCCATCAAGTGGATTTCATAGCCAACAATTTTTGGATTGTGGCAGTTGTTGATGAACACACTGGTAACAGTATGTGTGTACATATTGTTTGAACATAAAGCAGAACATGCTGTTTCTTTGGCAAGTGAGGGTCCATTTCACTTGGCTGTCTCTGTGGCATTTGCTAGGGTTCATCTCTGAATCAGTACAAAGTTTCACCGTTGTGTCATTCAGGATCACTTTAAATGACACACCGTACGTTTTGGACACGGAGGCCACCATGAGGCCGCACACAGTGCACGAAAGCAAGGCCACACATGGAACACGGTGCGGATCAGGCTCAGCACGGTGCCAACACATGTTGCTTTTCCTCCCGAGATCGTGTGCGTGTGGGTCGAGTCTGTTCCCCACCCGATGGTTTCAGATCGTCTGGGGCGATTTCTCGCTGGCGTTCGCCCACGGGGCAGCGCAAGAAACCACGGTGCAGCCTCAATGTTGGTGAAAAACATGTGAGTTCTATCGAGCTAGACATAATTGTTAAACATCTTTTAACCAACAACTATAGTTGGCCTGAAGTATCTGCGTACGTAGCTCCTATGTTAAGAGCCTCTGAACGTCACACAAAAAGGAAAAAAACACAATCATGCCACCTGTCTTGGTGACTCTAAGCATTTCGAAGTCCCTAAAGTTCTCTAAACTCTCTGCATCCTGTTCAAGAAGTCTTATACTTGATCTTATGTTATTCAAGATTGATTGATGGACCAAACATGAACTAGTTACTGTAAGGAGAGCATTTTGCGGGCAGAACAATATGCCGTCTTCAGCCCATCCGGGCTCAAGCCTTCCTACCGAGGCTCAGCGTCCGTCTCGGGCCATGCATCCTCCTGTCTGGCCGAAGAGATGCAGCAAAATGCGGAACAAACACCGGAAAATAGATGTTATGGGGGTTCCTGTTGTGCAAGCACCAGAATCTATGTGTTTTTTTTCCTCACCCACAGTAGGTTTTGATAGGTTTTGCATGCTGCTTTCTCCCCATGCATGGGGCTACCCTGCTCCCTCTGACCTCTTGCACGAGGAGCACGTCCATCTCGAAAAGGTCCTCAATATATCAGCTGAGGTTCTGATGTTGCTGGGTAGTCATCTGACAAGTGAAGGGTAGCTATGCAAGTGATCTGGCTAGTCTCTGAAGAGCTGCAAGTCAAGATGACCACAGAGCAACCAAATGACTACCCGTGGAAGGTCCCAACAAATCTTTCCCGTGGAAGGTCCCAACGCCAAAGCTAAGCAGCTTTCAAATTGACTTCGTGCTACCCCAAAGCCTAGCCTTCATAGACCATGAAAGGAATGGTTGACCTGAGGCTTTGTAATCTAAACTTAATAATATTAAAACACTGGTTCTTTGAGACTCAGACCCCGAGCCAACCGGTGAGCCAACCGGAATGGAAAACAGGGCGAAATCTCGCGCCTTTCTCTGCGGTTCAACGACGAAGCGAAGCGGTTCGCGAAGCGGTTCGCGCGCCCCAAGCAGAACTCAGATGCCCCAAACATACAATGGATGGTTGAAATGGACTAGTATGGTATGGATGGAATAGTAACATACACGAGTAACTGGTGTATGGAATAGTTACATTCATACAATGCACATCACTGATGGATGGTCTGGGATGCTTTAGCAAATGTCCCACTTAGACACCGCGAGAATGTGCCGAACTCTGACAGTAAGGTCCTTACTCAAGACTCTTAAAACGTTTGAAATGATTCAACATTGATCCAAAACACCGTCATCAATCTAGAATAAGATAGGCGCCAGGCGCCAGGAAAAACAATCGTCTGCTTCAACTCCCGTTCAGCCAGGGCACCAAACGATGTTCCTTTCTGGACTGCAACCGGTCAAAGTGATCATAGAAGCGCCGAACACGGTTCACACTGCGCTTGACCGCGGAGCGGCCCACACCACGTCCGTGGCCGCCGTCGATGGCCTCCCGACGGTCCAAACGTGTCTGCAAGCGCTTCCAATGGCCACGCTTCATGGACCAACCACGGAGAGGAATGGCGATGTCGTCCTGCCAGGCGACCAGTGAAACAACCCAAACACTCCATGGAACAGTTACAAACCCTAGGCCTCCAAGTACCTTCTGAGAAGGTGTTTGGGGTGGGTTTGGAGGATCCAAATACCTTCTGAGGAGGTACTTGTGTAGGGAAACATCCCTCCCCCAGGTATGAGCCAAATGCAAGTAACTATTCAACTATTCCATACATGGATGGTGTGGGCATGACCATGACGAACGAGGAGACGACTGAGTCACATGCGGATCTGTGGCGCTTGCGTCTATCATGACCGGGCGTCTATCATCTCTCGTGGTCCGGGCAATGAGAAATGGTCAGGATCGGTGTGCGGACGATATCAACATCGATCTGACCCCGGCAGGATCGCAACTCGCAACGTTTGGATGATCGATATGGTGTGCCTGGAATTGGGTCGCAACTCGCGACGCTCCCATCCTTCCCTCAACCTGGTTCCTCGGCTCCATCAAAGGTGCATATATGTCGGGTTTTCGCGGCTTGAACACCAAACCATCCGACTGGGTGAAAAGGGCAATGTTATCTCTCATCTGGACCGTCTATACTCGATTTTAACAGCTCGTCAACAATGAACCTCCCAGGGATGTTGAAAGCATGGCGGAACATGGCCAAAGTAAGTACCTGTCTAGTATATCTGTCTATTGGCAAATGATGGCAAATTCAGAAGGTCTTTTTGGCCTCGGCTTCAGGCTGACGACGGAAGTGTGGCATGATAAACGTCGTCAATGGGAAATGGCTCCTACTAGTAAGCCCAGTGGGTCAACGCACCAGTTTAACCAGTTCTTTAGTAACGCACCGGTTTAACCGGTGCTTTAGCAAAACGGGAGCTGGAAGCTTGAAAAGGCCGTGAAAAACCCGTGAAAAGGACGTGAAAAACCCGTGAAAACAGGGTGAAAGGCCGTTAAATATACCTGTGAAAATTGTATCTTGAAAGTTGGGAGGTGAAATGCGTCCTTTACGCTAACGCACCAGTTTAACCCGCCCTTTGGACTTGCTGGGAAGGGTATAGAAGGCACCCACAACCCCATGCGACCACCTCACTTGGCCGCAAGGTAGAACCAAAGGCCGCGGTCCTCAGAAATGTCGTAAGGATCCTCCATGGGGCGAGCTGTGAGATGTGCTGAAGATTGGCACTGATCGCGTCTTGAGGATCTGAAACATTCCGAATGAAAACTCGACTCGACTGCGCAAACATGTTCAGAGAATCGAGCGGGAACCAAGCAAACCCTGCGGTTTCAAATAAAGCTGCGTCAAGTCCGAGCGATTGAATCGAACCAAAACCAAGGTGAAGATCAGGTGAAGATCTCTTGAACACACCATACACCGCTCAAACACTGACATCGACCCACCAACCGACCGGTGAATTTTTTCGCGATGTCCTTCAATAAAAGTCGTCACGTTCGTCACGTCATCCTTCGTGCGAAGATCTGGACAAAAGTAACACACTGCACCACCCACTCTGCACAAATCTTTCCCTAAACAGCATCATGGCGCACACACCGTCTCGAACCTCTGTGTTCACAGCCCAGCCGCCTCCCGGAAATGCCTCGCTTCTTCGCGGCCGAACTCCATCTGCTCTCGCCTCCGGACGATGCTCGCGGTCCATCTGCGCGGCTGGAGTTTCTTGGGACCAAAAGCAGATTCTCCTCAGAGCCTTTTGTCTCAGAGTCTGTTTCATTGGGACCAAAACAGAGTCTTGGAGTTTCTTGCACGAGTCAGTGTTTCGATTTGTTGTGCCAGACCATGTTTCAGCGCAAAAGTCTTTCGCTCGCTTCCTCCTCCAAGGGAGCAGAACTGCCGTCAGCAGCAATCTTCTTATTCATGGCTTCCGTGGCCACTGCCCTGAAACACCAACCCTCTTGAAATGAATGTGTACAATAGTGGGAAATAGACCAGCAAAATGAGTATACAGCACCTTTCCCTTCGGTGCTAGTAAAACTATACCATAGATCCGTCCTGGGGTAAATACAAAGAACAAACAAACACGAACATCGCTCCCTACAGTTATATTATGATTCCTTGACGCGCCTTCCGCTACTCCTGGATTGCTCCAAAGTCGGACGTCCCATCAATGCTACGAGCGGCTCATCCACACTGCCAGCCGTGTTTTCGGCACCCTGGTAAAGACGGTGAGGGAGTTGGCCCAGCGCAATTACTGAGCATGGTTCATGCGATTAACAGTCTATAGGCAAAATGCAACCCTAGGATTTCAAGAACTATGGATTACGATCTACATCTTCCGAACAATCCTTCTTCTAAAGAGGAGTTAGCACTGCGAAAGGACCAAAGTCAACAGCACGGATTGGTCAATTAGTACCAGGACCCACTTGTGGTGCTGTTTCATGGACAGGTCTCTTGCTGAGGTTCATGAACCCCACCAGAATTTGCAAGGTTCCAATTAGAGAGCGGTTAAAACTTCAATTACACTCCCTAGAACTCACGTCGGTTACGTGGGTTACGGTATGGCCTTGAAAGGATGAACATGGATGACCATGATGGTCCACGCTCATGAGTACTTCCAGGGAGTGTATTGACTTATAGAAGTGGGGCTTCAACTGGCTCTGCTTTGAGGCCGCTCTATGAAGGAGCCTCCGAGTTCAAGTCGATGGCTGATCACTATCGGGTCTCCTCTCATGACAAGACTTTTGTATCATATGTATAGTCCTGTATATATATAACTTATAGATACAACTTACATGTCCTCAGCTGAAACTCCTAAATATCCTTTTGATGGACTATTCCCTGCCTCGTCTGTTCTATAATGAATATGAGATGCTCCGAATTTCACGACTTCTGCTTCTCAACTCAGGAACCATGAAACGAAACCAATCCCTTTCAACAAGCTCGTCAGCTGCAACCCATCCGCAGCCGGGGTGTGTCTCTCTGTCGATCTGGCCTGCCGCATATAGCCACGGAACTCGGGGGATCGCTGGTAGTCCACCGCCTCCTAGGCTTCAACAAAGCATCCAGCTGATCACGATGAATAAAGAGTAATTTAAAACCCATGTAACCTAATACCTGATTGATTCACTCAGCAAGCAGGCACACCCCTGTTGTTTTAAAACGACCTTGGATGAACAACTCTTTTCAATGGTGAGCAGTGTGGTCGTGGTAGATGAGTCCAAAAGTGTTCTCATATTGGAATCTGTAGGCATCTGTAGCCCTCACATGGCTTCACGACCGCGGCTGGCCATCCTGGTACAGTCTTTGAACCTTGAGATCTTGCTCACTGCTCAGATGTGATGCCTCCGTTGATCGGTGGCGGTCTTCCAAAGCAAAGAGGGCTTTGGGGCCACAGGGTTCAGCGCCCGCGCCTTCGCCTGGGCAGGCTGGGCGAAGAATTGCTGGGCACTCTTCAGCAGCTCCTGAAGCCGAGCGAAGGCATTCGGGCTGGGCCTAGAGGGTTTGAAGCAAAGCGAGGTCGGACTTTTCACTTGGTGAGGAATTGGTGAGGAATGGGCGCAGAATTGTCTTGGCCTCCAAAAATGTAGGAATTGGTGAGGATGGCGGTTTCTTTTCCAATGCTGAAGATGAAAAGACACGGAGGTCGATCCATTGTGAGCCAGCAACACCGAGCTGGACCCGGAGTCGTGATCTTGGTTCGCCGGACCTTCCACCCTGTTCATGTCTGTCTCAAGGCGAACAAATCGACCAACTATTGTATCATAGTTTGGCGGAACCGGTTCAGGGGGGTGCTTTCTTGAAAAGGCAGTAATTAGCTATGTCTACGCCTGCTTCTGCTAGATTGGACACATGATTTCTAGTGGTTAAACTGTACGTAATGGACATCTATGTTTTGGTGGTTGACACATTCTGACCGCTTTTCACCGCAGTTTTGGAAGCAGGGTGAACAGTGGGAATTCATGGTGAACATGCGCATATCAGGTGATGTCGAGTGCTCATGAACTACCAGCTGTATTCGGGATTCACATCTCTTCTGAGAAGGTTTGTGCAAACTAAAGCCACCCATAACAACCCCAAGCACCTGAGGACGACGTTTGGGAGAATGCGGATGCCTGATCAGGCAAGTTTTGGTTCATAAATCTGAGAAATTCTGAGAACCTCTCCTCATGCAAGGAGCACAGCGTTGGAGGCAAACCCGTGAGCAAAAAGCAACCAGCACCTCCGCTGCGGGCGAGTATGAGTTTGTGGAATGAGTGTTTGCTTTGAGGGGGTCTGTCCAATGAAATCGCGGTTCTATGTGTTCAGTGGATGCCCACATTGGCTGGATGGCCCCCAATTGATTTCCACCATCGTCACCAATGAACCACTTGATGTATAATTTAGGCAAAGTAACCTGTATCTGTATCTTCTACGATGTGTGTGCTGTGGTGAGGATTCCATGGGTATTGAGGAGACAAGAATCAACTGCCGATATCCTCCAAAAGAAAAGCAGGGTAGCACATTAACGGCGCCCTCAAGTTTCCTCTTTCATGGCCTTGCATGTCTAACCATCAAATCAAACACAATGGAGGCACAGGAGACATTGGGCTTGGGTTTGTCTTTATGATATGTCGTGTTTGTCAATCCTTTTGATGTGCACCATATTGAGGTTTCAGTGTACCCAAGGTCATCGGTCATCGGCTGGTTGATTTCAGCGTCCCACCCTCCACGCCTCCATCACCCACGCGGCAAGCATTCCCTGGAGGCCGGGGAGGCTGCGTTACCACACATGGACTGTGACGATGTTGCCCCTATATAGGAACCTCCCACACCAACTGAGCTACGACCAAAACCCAAATTGTATGGTGACGGAGGGGGTGGGAACTTTGGTGTGCAAACTGAGCTCCTGGCTCGAGGGATGCTTGACCCAAAAACTCGAGTCCAGGCTCGGAGTCGACTGTGGACTCCTATAGAGGTCGGATCTCTTCAAAGGACAAAACACCTCAAGGACTCCCGATACAACATGTCCGCCCCCCCACACATGCTTTGTAACATCTGCGTACAAGCCTGTTTGCACCCGCTGAGTTTTTTCTCAAGCCTAGCCATTTCGCAGGTGAAGGGGCCGAGCCTAATTGCCCGGCAAAGCTCTCCAGGTCAGAGTAGAGTTGCCGGTGCAACAGCATGGGCCTTGGCATGAGCAGCTTGGCATGTGCTTTTCTCTGATTGTACTGAGTAGCAACCAATTCATTTGTTTGGGTGTAGCCAACTCTCTTGTTGGGGTGTTGCCGCAGCATGCTTGGCAAAATGTGTATGGAGTCAGTATTTGAGAGCAGGAAACAACGTCCAAACTTGAGGGTGTACCATGGTCTAGCATGCCAGCATCCTTCAGAAGGCGCTGATTTCCTCGCAAAGGGGCACGGTGATTTCCTGGTCTTGGCTGGTCACAGGTCCCATGGTTTTCTCGAGCCGCGCCTGGAAGGAATGCAGTTTGTTCCAAGGTGCCAAGTTCCTTTGTCAGCCAGCCTTGCAAGGCTCGGTGGTCACACCATCCCCCTTGCCAAAACCCCTTCCATCCAATCTGCCATCCACCTGGACACCTGGCCGACTGGTCGGCTCCGAGTGTCCAACACGGCCTTGGTCCAGGTGTCCTACGGCCTGGATCGGCATGGTATATAACAATTCCACCGCATTGCCCAACTGGAAGTAAAAGGATTCCAGGCCAAAAAACTATTGATCTTCCGATCAGGTGAAGCGGGGAGCTTCCTTGGACCCTCTTTGGCCTTCGCAACCTTCGGAGATGCTTCATCAGGGATGTTGGCGAAAACCAAGTGAGTTCCCACATGATCAACCCGTTCGCCGATTTCACCATGCGCCTTGCTTGAAAACCAGAGGCCCCCGCAAGGCACCAGTGCTATGGCACCTAGGTCTTCCAAGGTCTCCGATGCTGAGACCATATATCAAGATTTTTGGAATGAGACTCCGCAACCAAAACAGACTCCAAGAAAAACGGGTTTGATGTTCTGTGAGCATCACTTTGCCGATGGCTTACAGGAGAACGACAGGTTTCATCGGCTCGCCCTTGAAGTTCCACCGCAGCTAAGCAAGCAATTGTTACCGGCTCACAAACAACAGCAGCAATGACCAAAACTGCCTGGTCTGTTGCTGCATACATCCGGGTGTCCAGCAAGACAAACTCAAAAAAGGGCATGAGCAAACCTTAGTTAGCCTTCGGCCTTTGATCTCCAGCCTTGATCTCCAGAGCCAAGCTTGAAAGCTGTATACAGTGTGGTTTGCATCCCAAGGCCCCAGGACAGCCCAGCATAGCCCCAAACAGCCCTACATAGCCAAATTGCTGCACCATTCTCCCAGCTTCAATTAGAGAGTCTTACGATTGTGACTGATCAAACCACCCAGAGCCAAACCACCAAAGGCCAAGGGACCTTCTCCATACAAAGCGACCTCCTGGCATGCTGACGTGGAAGAAGCTCTGACGCGACACATCGTGAAACCATCAGGGCCACTACGAAGAACACGGCCACTCGGCCACTCTCATGACTGATTGAACAACATGTTTTGAACAAAAATATATAACGCAAATAAACAAAGCACATAGGACTGCACCTGATGTCACATCAAAATACACTACTAGTACAATCCTATAGACGTCTATCGAATCACATCAGTTGCAAGCACCTCATGTGGTCCAGTCAACTGCGCAGAGTTTTGTCATTCTGTCCCCTGTTTTTTCGTGCCGGGCAAAGCATGGCCAAGCCGTCGATTTTGCGAAGTGGCAACCAGGGCCTTATGCAGCTGCATAGCCAAAGAACAACACCATTTATACTTCAGCCAAACTGGCTTGTAGATAAGGTCCCAACTCAAGAAGTCAACAAATTCACAAGCGCTTGTCAGAATCATCTGTCACACCGCTCCCCGACATGCTAGAGAGAGGATCATCCCAAAAAAGAAACAGCGGCAGTGCCGTTGGACAAGGTATCAAGGACGCCACCAGTACCTATAGAAGCTACACACGCAGGAGGCCATCGCAAGTAGGTTGGAGGCCATCGCTACGAACGGAGCAAGGACGCCACCAGCACACCTGGACTCAACCGATCGCCGTCCCCTCCCCTCCCCGAGAAACAGCGCGCAGGCCTCTGTGGAGACCCTGCAAAGCACTCGGGGGATCGAGGCGGAGACCCGAACTTGGAGGGGTTGAGTTCCAAGATATGCCTTTAAATATATATATATATATAGCAAGTGCATCACCTTCTAAGAAGTGCATCACTACATAGTAGCGAACCTTTTTACGTATTGGGCGTTTCTTCATGCCACATCGCAGAAGTGTGCATACATGTGCATTTATATATACCCTAGACTTCCAAGACCATTAAACAAATGGTTGACCTGGTGTTTGTAGTGTAAAATCCTTAGTTGATTCGGTAAAGCCTATTAAATTTATTATTGGTGGTTGGACACATAGGGTATAGGTGTCCAATCAGTATGCAAAATGTATGATCGAACATCTTGGCCCCCCCAAAAAACACTCATTTGATCAGTGTGCCACTGGCTTGATTGCAATTCCCTTGCCCAACGACATTCCTCGACATCTCGGGCGGACCCAGATTCCATTGGGCCTCGATCCGCGCGACTCGGAACATGGCGTTTCGAGGGGGGGCGGTCAGCAAGCGCCGCGACGGGGTCAGAGTCAGCGACGTGGAGTTTGGACCAAAGAAGACCAGTCAATTCTCGTTGTGTTTTGTTCTTGTCTTGAGAAAAAGAGGGTTCCAACTTCTGTTCTGTTGACTCTCTGGGGTTTTAAATCTGGGTGTGTTTCACATTTTGTTCAGTACCCATGCAGTACTTCGTACTCAGAAGCTCTTAGAATGGGTAGTGAAATTAGATGCATGGGTACTTTGAATACTTCTTTGATTCTTAGCTTGATTGGTTTTGACTCTCGTATTCTTTATAGAAGCTCTTTTGACACTCCTCTCTGTCATGCTTTTGCTTTTTGTTTGTTGTTCTTTTTTTCGCATCTCCCACAATCAAAAGGATCCGTTTCAGAAATGGCGGCCCTCTTTCAGAGGTCTCAGGTTCAAGATGACGCTGAGTTCAACTTGGGACAGCTGATGTCGTAGTCAGAGCAGCCAACTTCCCTGGAGGGAAGTGGCGATGAGCCAAGAAACGGCTCTAATGGAATGGTGGATCTCTCAATAGCTCTGGTGTCATTCCCTACTTCACCACTTCATCAGGTGCCCTGGGGCTGCCGCAGTGGAATCCACCAATCAAGCTCAACAAAACTGGGTTCCCTTGTTTGATCACATGGTATCTGGGCATGGCTCGTGATAGTCGTTTGAAGAGCAAATGCCACCTTATTGTAGCACATCGGGGGCACACAACCAAAACGTTTGGAAAGCTACAGAAAGTGGGCAAAGAAAAGTAGATCAGTGATCACACCCCTGAAAGCCTGAACGCCCTGACCCCTTGAAAGCCTGAACGCGGACTTCCGGATAGCTCCTCTACACACCAGCTAAAGTGGTCATTTGTGTTGGGGGTGAAAGCCTGCCATCCTCCAGTTAAGCTCTAGATTCTTTCACTAGATTCGATTGGCGGAACCACTCACTCCCGCCCGGACACCGCGGAAGGACCGTGCGGTCTGTCCGGCGTCTTTTCCGGCGCGTGTTCCGCGAAGCGTCAGAGGCGCATTGCGTCCAGGACTGCAGGTGGGTCACCGATCGATGTGTCACCGATCTCATGCAAAGACGGATGACATTGGGGTCATAAATGGAGTAGATGTGTGTAGATAAACTATTCCAGTCCCGTGGAGTATCTGCGAACAGTGACTTGCAGCATGCTATTAAGCAACCTCAAGTTGCCCCTTTGCCAACTATAGGTACTAGGTCTGCTGTGGAAAACACAATGTTGCCTGGCGTCAGAAGTTAGAAGCGTCATATCGCCGCGGAACAGTTTCTTCAGAATCGTGCGTCATAGCCCAACCCAACCTCCCTCAATCTTGTGAGGTACCCCATGAACATTGGCATCCATAGTAAAGAAATACTCTTCAAGGACATCTAGATAGTTTCCCTATCATCCGTCCCGGTCCTTGAAGATGACGGGCCACACAAATCAATCTACTGCAAAGTCTTTCTTTCTGTCTATCAGCACTATTTACCAGTCGGAAATAGCAGCAATCAGCAAACCCTGTCATGTAGAAATTTAATGCTATATCATCCGAGAAAACACCGTGATCATAATGTTTCCATATCACTACATCACCCACTGATGGTGATGGAACAAGAACATGGGAACCGGGAACTCCTGCCCAACAGGGGGTTGTGTCATGAGTCATGATGGTGTGTTCCTCCGACTCACTTGTGGAGCATCTTTTGGAGGGTTCGAGCAGCGAATGGAGTCCGAGTCCAAAACAAGGTTTGCATCATCTTACCCAAAAAAGCAAGTTTCGTATAGATATGGATAGATTAGGTGGACATGACCTTAAACCAATCGGTGGAGTTTGTATACCTCCATCCGACCCATCTGACAAACGTCCCCCATCCAGTCGACCTCGCAGTGAACCCGCCTGATCATCCCAGCCAACGGGTCCGCGCCTGCGAGCGGTTTCCCCAGCGGAAACGGTACCGGTCCGGACGGTGGTGTGAGGTGTCTTGACGTCTTCCATATGTCTTCCATACATCTTAGATCATCTTTGAGTTCGGGGGTCCCTTTTGGGGTCATCTCCTTGCGTTTCTCCTGCCCCCCCGCCCCCGAGCCCCAAGCACCTGGTGCCCAGGGGTCGCTCTTTTTGTGGCGGACACACTGGGGGTCGGCAGATCACGTCAAGCTCTTCACTTCGACAAAAGCTCCCCCGCTAAAAAGAAAACACACAACAACATGTAAATGTATTGTAGAGTGGATGTGTCTTGAAATAGACCCTGCACCACGCCAGGCCTATTCATGTTTAATGCTTTGAAATGTTGCTGGACCCTGTCGACACTGAATGGTTCAAGAAACCACCTAAGCCTAAGCGTACCTGGATCAAATGCGAACAGAACAAATCTGCTTGAATATCTTCATACACCGCTGAACATGGGGCCCATCCGTGATGAAAACCGATCAACCTCTCAGATCTGCTTCTTACTGACCCCACCAATTGCCGATTGCTTCAACGGCGCGCGGGGCAACGCACCTGGCTGTGGTGGCTCTTCACACAATGTGTCAAACGGTTGGCCCTCGCAAAGCAGTGCGTGAGCCTGGCAGGCCCGATAAGATCGGCCACACTCCAGGGGCGTCCTGGGGGGTCATCCTGGTGTACGAAGCACCAAGTGCATTCCTGGTGTGAACGAATTCAGTCAGGATTCAGTGTCCAACCTCTGGAAGTTGGATGGCTTTCCCAAGACAAGGACACCAAAGGGCCATGTTTGGGCATTTGAAAGGGAGATAGGTGCCCCCGTTTTCCGTACCTGTGACAGGTGACACTTTCTGATGAATGAACCTGCACCATGGCCTGGTAAAACAGGGATGAGTCCTCCAAAGCCTCTCTTTCCTTTGATCCTTCCCTCAATGAACTGGTATTTCTGACCAGATTCCAGCCGCATGTTTTTAAGCCACGTGCCATTGGGTTCCGACTGCGAGGAAGGAACACCCCCAGACCGGGAGAGGGTCTGTCGACAGGTATAGCCATCTGGTGAACCCCAGATCGAATTGTACCCAAGAAGTACCAGAAGCTTGTGACCCTGTGACCTTGCCTACACATGCCTACACTTCTTGACATCATCATGGTTACGTGGCGTTCACCAATTCGTCATCCTTTCGAGGCCGTAAAATACATCCGCGGCCAGGCCCGTTGGCCGGAGCTTCAAGGAGTGGGACTTGTTTTGCCAAGTCTTCAGCTTGGGATTTGCGGCGGCCAATCTGTGAGTGATCATGGTTTCGGCATATCTAATGTCCACCTCTGATTAATCAGTAGGGGGGCCCCCCCCCTCCCCCCTGAAAGACCTTAAATAGATATAAAGACTGTGTTCAACTGTTTAGTATTGGTAGATATTTTTCCTTTAGTATAAGAATCTATAAAGGAAAGGAATAGAAGAAAGGAATCCATTGAGGACCCATTGATTCAGCAGGAATCCTCACCAGGATTAGCCAGCAGGAATCCTCACCAGGATCAGGGGTCCTTAGCTGTATTTAGGGTCAATCTTTATTTTGTACTTGGGC